GATACAAACGCGATAATGTTTTCCAAGTGAGCTACAACTAGCTTAAGCGGTGTTTGAAGTTTATAGAAGACAGTTAAGGTAGACATTTATATGAGATAAAGAAGCATTAGGACAATATAGCAAGCGCACCGTCTGAAACAAAGTGGATCAGCATGCAAGTACTCGGTTAGTAAATCTAATGTGGCGTACCTATAAACGCTGATCGGGTTCTGCCTACTTTCTCTGCAGGACCCGTCCTCGTTTCGGTGGTGGCCCCAAGTGGCCTCGCTCACGGTTCACTAGGTATGCCTGACTAACGCAGTCGCGACCGCATGTGCTACAGCACAAGGCGCTCGATGTTGATGGAGTACAACCCATTGGCGCCTGTCGCTTCCGCAATTGTCACTTCTTCTCTGCATGCAGGAGGTCTCTCGCTTACACTTCGACAAACGGCCTTCGTGATCACATCGCGCCATGAACGCCGATCAACCATTTTCGATTTCCAAGGCCTGCAATCAAAATTAAAACATGAGAGGCTCACTTTAACCATTGCCTTGTAAAGCAGATCCGATTTCTCTCCATGCGGCTTCCCCCAACTCAGCTGACTGTAAAAAAGCTGCTTCGGTATCCGCGTCGAATCCACACGGTTCACGTGATCGAGCCACCTCAGGTGTCTCAGGAAAAGTATGCAGTCCGCTGCATATATTCCAATTCGAAGCAACACTTCCGTGCCGCAACTCTGTTGCACCAACCAATGCGAAGAATCCGTCGCAAACACTATTGATGGAACTGCTCGAGATAACTCACATCTCCCCGGTACATCGCCCACGTTTCGCTGCCGCATAGAACGGGCAACACCATGGATTCGTACATCATAAGCTTTGTACCAACGGTAAACTCATGGTTGTTCCACGCTCGGTACTCTAGCTTCCCGAATAACGCCGCTGCCTTCGAGACGCGGATACGCAGCTCACTGTGTAGCTGCTGATCAGTCGACATCAACTCCCAAGGTAGCAAGAGCGGGAGCAGGTTCATAACACGTAACCACCAGTACTGATTCGCGGCAATATTGAAGATTGTACCTTCGGTGAAGGCTGAAAGGGACAGACAGTTTTGCTTCTGTTGATGTTGAGCCCGAATTTGGCCGCTGTCAAAGCCAGAGCACTAGTCATGTGCTGCTACTCATCCGCGTTGCGTGAAAACAACGCACAGTCGTCATCAAACAGCAACATACGGATAGCTGTCTCACAGACTAGAGTTCTCGCACCGAAACGACGCACGTTCAGTAACCCACCATCAATACGGTGTTCCGCACTAACACCGTAAGCACAAGCCGCATCAAAAGCACAAGACATCATGGCATGAAGATATATATTAAACAGGACAGCAGCTAAGACACAGCCTTGCTTCACACCAGAGATAACTGCAAACTCATCCGAGGTCGCTTCACTTAGCTGCACCCTGGCCCGCCTACCACTGTGCAGACATTCAATTAAACTTACAAACTTACGCGGGCAACCAAACTTACCCAACACTAGCCACAATGCCTCGCAGTTCACCGTATCAAACGCCTTGGTGAAATCAACAAAAAAACGAGTACCGTGGCTGGTGTCATTCTCTGCACTTCTGCTGCAACTGAAGAGCCGCAAACCCCATGTCTATAGTGCTGTGACCCGAACCGAATCCATATTGCTCTTGCGCCACGCGCGACTCCACAAGCTCACTAAGGAGTCGGTTGAGTAGGATTCAGGCAATCATCTTGCCCACACAACTCAGCAAGTTGATGTCACGATAATTCGTGCCACATTGCTTGTTCCCTTTGCCCTTGTACAGTGGTAGCACAAGGGCATCCTTCAGCTCAGGAAGCACCACCTCCTCAATCCATGCGCGTTGCACCAAGTGGTGCAGCGCAGTCAATAACCCGGGTCCGCTGTGTTTCAGTACTTCAGGCGGGATCCCATCGGCCCCAGCACACTTGCCGTTCCGCAGCTGAGCAAGTGCTCTCTGCGTCTCGTCCAGTGTCGACGTGTACGCCAGACTCATCTTCACATCGTGCTGCTTGAGACCGTTCACAGTACACCAGTCAATCTTTGAACGGTTGTACAAGAGACGGTCGAAGTGTCTCCGCTAGATCTGCATTATGTCTGCAGTCTGTGTGCAGGTAGCGCCTGAACTATCATCGATCAGCGTCCACAGCGCCTCCAATCTCGGTCCATACACTGCCTACAACAAGTCAAAGAGTCCCTTGTGTTGGCGGAGTTCGTCGTAGCATTCTATTTGCTTCGTCTTCTCCGTCCACCATGCATTTTTATGCGACGGAGCTCTCGAGTCAGTCGTCGTCGAAGTTTGCGAAATCTACGCTTATTCTCCAGTTCACTGGGGTCTCACATATGTGCAGCAAATGCTGCAGTCTTCTCTCATCAATGCGTCAATCGTTGCATTGTTCTCATCAAACTAATCAGGCCGCTTGCAGTTTGCGCGCCCGATAGTTTTCCCGGCAACAGCTGTCACCTGGTCACGAATGTGGTGCCACAGATCGCACACTGGCTACGCAGTCCACATCACACAGTCGTGTAGCCATCGCCTTCTACAACTCAATACGTTTCGCCATAGTACCTAAGGAATGTTAAATTCATGCCAGGAGTGCAATACATAAATGTATGAAAATATATGTGCAGTTTGGTCCGCACCAATTTGTGGTCAGTGCCACACTCAGTTCCACGCAGTACACGTGTCATGCGCACTTCACGCATATCACGCTGACGCACGATGACATAGTCGAGCAGGTGAGCGTGACCACTCCGTGGGTGCGTCCAAGTTGCTATTTCACTCGCACTCAGTGCAAACCGAGTGTTCGTGATCGTCAGGTAGTGTGGCACACAGTGAGAGCAGCCTGTCACCGTTCTCATTCGCTGAGCCAAAGCCATGCGGACCGATGACATCTGTCCACACCGATGCATCACGACCAACGTGCGCGTTGAAATCACCCAGCAAAAACAGTCGGTGGCTTCTCAGCACAGACCATCACGGAGGATAGTTGAATGTAGAATCGATCACGCGTATCATCAGGATAACACAAGTGTTCTCCCGAGTCGTAGGCGAACAGTCACCAGTCGCGCGTTGATGCCCATTCGTTCACAAATCAGCTGGCCATTTAGGCGATCAGATTTTGCAAATCCAACCCTATATTCACGTAGTGCTGAGGCGGCGTTGCCCACCCAGTAAAATGTATAGCTAGCACCTGCTTCATGCAACTTATCTTGCTCAGCGAGCCGAGTCTCACTGAGCGCTCTAATATCGATGTTGTAGCGCGCCAGTTCCAACGCGACGAGTACAGTGCGTCGCTCGGGGCGCTCACTGGAATTCCGGTCCAGTAGTGTGCGCACGTTCCAGCACCCGATGCTGAGTGCTTTGCGCGCAGGCATACGATTGCATATATATATATATATATATATATATATATATATATATATATATATATATATATATATATATATATATAGGAAATCGAGTACTCAATGCGCGTTTCAAGTCTCATCGGAAAGAGATCTAAAAAATACGGGACCGGAGAATATTTATTTTGTATGGCTCAGCAACAGACGTTCGCGACCAATCATGGGGAAATTTGTCTAGATCAATCCAAATGATGTGGGTTGCGTGTCCCCATTTGATAACGCCTCACAATTCACCACGTTCCCTTGCTTCAGGCCATCACTTATCATAGCAGTCAATCATATAACGAAGTCACAAGTGAAAATATTTATGTCAATGCGCCAGCTGGTAAGAATGCCATTGCGTTTTACCCGAAATGTGTAGTCTGAATTTAATAGCAAACATTACCGATAGGAAAATGGTGAAGTCTAGGTCTGTTTTTTGCAGATGTCTTAAAAGTGTGACGACAGACACATTTGTATCTCACCCAGCTAATTTAATAGGTCACAAGTGGTAGAGACACACTGTAATTTGACCACTTAAACCCGGTCCAAGCAACGTTTAGTTTAATTAAGAAAACGAAAGAGACTGAGTTATTGGCTCATGCTGTCCTATTAAGTAGAGGCTTCACTCATTGACAAATGTACAAAAGTATGTGGAGTAGTCAATACTAGAAAATTCGCGATTTCATGTCATTAAGATAAATAAATAACCTGTTCCACTGTTTCACCATGAAGGGGGCGTATAGTTTGTTCGAAAAGTATGTTGGATGAGGAATCGGTGTCCAATCAGAATACCTTGGATGTAGGATTTGTTTCAATGAAGTTTCAGGTAGAACGCAAGGAATAACATCATCTCTCAAGGGGGAGACAACAGTCTTCCAAGCCAGATCCGAGATAGACTAACCATTATGCAAATGGAAAGCGTTGCAGTGCACACAGCGACGCGAAGAAGCACCAGGAACTATCTTGACAATAGTTGTACGAGCTGGATAGACGAGTCATAAATGGCTCATCCAGGGGTGAACGAACCATAACCTGGTCACGGGCAAAGCCGACACAGATTAGCTCGAACGGTAGCGGACACGTCAACCATGTCACATTAACGGCACGGGATCCGGTGGCGACCCGTCTACAAAGCAAACGATCGCAAAGGGACCTAAGCGCGTCAGACAGTAGAGAACATACGCAGACACACGGCAGAAACGAAAACGGACCGGTAAAAAGTTGTCGCAACCACATAGCGCCACCAAATTTTTACGATACGAAGATGCGTAGCAAGCATGGGCAAAAATGCATAAGTAGACTTCGTCTGAAATATAGTGTACAGAAAACAGTGGATAAACGCGCAACAGATTTGGGCACTCTTAACTGTCAGTCGGTGACCCGCGTTGTCATCCGGTGGTCAGTGGTTCGAATTTACCTAAGTGCGGTTGACCTTGCGGTGCACTCGGCGCACGCTCGACTAGTGGTGGTCGCGTGGTAACGAAGCTTCGGCACGGTGTGCCCGCGTACTGATGATGCCTTAGTTTGTTCCCGTTAACTATGACCCATGGACTATCGAATAGAAGGGAAAGAGAGCGGTAATGTAAACAAAGTATGGAATTTATATTCCTAGTGAGAGTGATTCTAAGATACCGGGACTCAGGAACAACGGTTTTGGAGAGTTGCGGTTTTATTTTCCGAATGGATTCAGCACCCGTTCTCTATAGCTCAATTCTCCATTTTCGATTTGGCGCAGAATTTTTGGCTGAAACAAATGTGAAACGGAGACAATTAAAACGACGATCTGTGTAGATGACGTATAATAAAAGTAGGAACATAGCGCAAAGCCTTGAAATAATCACACTTTTAACTCCCAGAGTTATAAAATTTCCGGTGAAAGTGGTGGCACTGTAGTGCTCAATGCGACAATAAACTGTTTTTGGAGCTAGCATAGTTCCGCGAAGAGTTCCACTAAGCCCGCTCCCTGGCAGGCTCTCAGCAACAATGTCACCATGTCGCGACTCAAACTGTGTAGGTCATAGCTAAGTTTTCCCCGTGGACACTAGAGGTTATGTGTAATCACAATCTGTGCATGCTCCACCTAACCTCTCCGCAGTGACATGGGGTTTCAAGACCGTCTCAGGACATATTGATCACGACTGAGCTCTCCTCAGGAGACCGTCACTACGTGACAAGTCATGCAGGGCTTACCAATATTTGGACTTACAGTCTACGCTTTATGCTAATGAGTTATAAACAAGAAAGTGTATAAAGTATGCTTTGTCTTTGGCTAAGTCAGTAAATGAACTTTGATATCAGCCAGTCTTTCTACACTACGTCAGGGTGTAACCATTGGAAACCATGCGAATCGCCTGGTGCCAGGTCTCCTAAGCTACTCGGCGAGTGGGATACCATTCATCAGTACGGTGAGAAACACACCTCAACTACTGTGCCACAATACACAAAGGTACTGCACAAGAAAAATCAAGATACTTTAAAAAATATAGAATGCAAAAAACAGGCGACACAAAACTTAGTAACATATTAAGTGTCACGAGGGAGATCAAGGCCGGAGGAGGAAGATAGACGGGATGGTGAAGGACAAAGAAACTCATAACACAAACGCCATTAAGGTCGGCGGCTTCCATCCATGCCAACTAGTGTGTCCAACCAAACGTGTTCATCATCCTTAGGAACCCAATCAGGCAGTCGAAAGACACCAATCGAGGCTAAATTAAAAGTGAGGGATTTCAGTACCATTGTCTAAATCATCGGTTAACTTCCCCTCCTATTCTTCTGTCCACACCCACGGCGCGCAAACTACGCAGTTCGCCGGAGTCAGTGTGTCTGCATGCGTAACACGTGGGCCAGCCATCGGATCCTGGTGGGTGATACAATGGAGCTGTACGCTGCACTAGCTCTTCTTGTACCAAATACGCGACGCCGAACACGCTCATTGCTCACGCCAGACATGAGCTAAGCTGCGAAGGCAGCGATGATCGAACGTGACTAGCCTCTTTAGGTCTGTTGACCTGATGGGCCAGGTTTCACAACCGTGTAAGAGGGCTGAACGGACGGCTGCATAATAAACTCTGCCCTTCAGGACGAGAGTGATGTCGCGTCTGCGCCACAGGTGGCGATGGCACCACGACCTCATGCCCTCATCTCCAATCCCATGGGCGCTAATATAGCTGTCCTGAACGACTTCTAGCTGATCACCATCGAGGGTAAGCACAGGGGCAGCTCCCTTCCAATCTTAGACAAGGACTGTGCGCTTCGAGACTGCAACCCACAGCCCGAAACGACTGACAGCTAATGCTAATTTGTCCAGCGACAATGGCACGTTTGAGAGCCGTCATAGATAAGAGCAATGTCGTCAGCGTACTCCAAGTCAAGAAGTCGATCATCTAAGAGCAGCTCCACGCCGTGAAGGTCGAGTCCAGCGAACACAGTCTCGATGACTTCGTCGATGGAGAAGTTAAAAAGGAAAGGCAACAGCTGACACCCTTGTCTTATACCGCTGGATATACTGAAGGGCGGCGACATTTTGCCGCAAACCTTCATTCTGCTCGAACTTTGCGAATAAACCGCTCTGATAATCTTTGCATATTTTTCGGGCACACTCTTCCTAAGTAGACATTCCAAAAGAGCATAATGATGCATCGAATCGAAGGCATATCTAATGTCGAGATGATCCAACAATTGACGTAATGTGATAATGTGGTCAATACAGCCGCGATTGCGACAATAACCGACTTGCTGCTCGCGAATCTGGCTTCCATGTGTGCCAGCAAGTCAATGGGGAACGACAGAAGCGAGTATATTAGAAGCAATTGAGATCAGACTGATCCCTCTATGACTGACGCATACAGAATGTGAGCCATTTGAAAATTTGGACTATTATCGAGCGGTTCCAGTCAGTCGGGTCAGTTTCCTGCTCCCACAGCTTCACAAGTTGTGCGGATCGCCTAAAAGAGAAGGCCCTCCTGAATCTGAAGAGAATTGGAGGGATTCACTTTCAACAGTGATCTTACGTTCGACTTTTTCGCGTGAAGGCGGATCCAGTGGGACGGCACTTGGAGAAGGGTGATCAATGGCCGAATGAGAAGTAGGAAACTCGTTGATTAAGCTGCTTTTCAGTGTTCGCCCCTAAGCTTCAGGCGTTTTGACAAGCTGTGGATTGGCCGTCCGCCCTCGTCACGTATGGTCTCGCTAACACCAAGTCTCCGATGGATCGTTTCGACTATCAGACGGAACAACTTCCGACAGTCACCAAGTGCAGCCGCCATTTCCATCTAAGATGCAAGATGAGACCACCACCCTTCGGGGTCTCCCTTCAGGCTAACACGCAGTTTTGCGCTCAGGTGCTTACGAGTCCCATCGTGTTCGATCCAAGCCGGAATGAATCGGCGTGCATCCAAAAGTTCCAGACTGCACAGACCCAGTGTCCAGCTCGGCAGCTTGGTCTGCCATATGAAGACATGACTGATGAAAATAACGTGTGGTGAATATGGGACCAGTGTATATCTACCATGCTCAGAGTGCGTTTACTAGGCCCGGATGCCAGCGTACTTTGACACGCATACAGGACACCTGGCTTCGCCAGGTGACATGTGTCTATGCGCTCACAGCGACACCGCATATGCCCACCGAAGCGAACTGTAAGATCGGCACAAACGAATGCATGGTCAGAATCCAGGCTTGTGTGCCAAATTGAGCGACACTTCTGAACATAGCCTCTCCAGCGGTAACTAATCGCAATATGGTCGATTTGCGTCCATGACTGGTTTGAGGAGGGTGGTAGCCATGTCACTGTACTGTGAGTGCTGTGTCGGAAGTTGGAGCTCGAAAGAAATAGACGAGCATCTTCACACAGATGTAGCAACCGCTCACCGTTATCATTCCGAGAGCCTACATCATGTTCGTCGCATAGATGCAGCCCATCAGTGTACATTTGTCCAAGTTGGGCGATTTGCTGCCTAGCCAGCATTACAGAGTCCGTGCTTTTCCTGCGAGGAAGGAGCTCGTTTAGTTAGTGATAGAATTCAACTTTCATGGAATCAGCGCGAGAATTTGTGGGCGCGTAGGCCACAATAACAAACTGGCACTGTATGTCCCTGCGTGATTTCGTAGCTCTGAACGAGTTATCCGATCTGACGGCGTACATTCGGCTGTTCACTGGGATCCAGTCCCCCAGGGCAGCTTCAGCCGGGGACTCAGATCAATGTCCACACCGGCTTGGCCAGTATTTGAAGCTGCATTATCTCTAGACAAACGTAATGAGAACGCGCCGACAGTGTCTCTTGTGGGGGATCGCAGGGTAAGCACGGAACTCGCATCTTGCAGGCGGGCTTCCGATAAGAAGCAGATATCGATCGATAGGGTCGCTAGTGTTCGGGCAAGTGCTGCCTGTTAGCCAATTTGCAAAAAAGTGCGCATGTTGAGGCATGCCAGTCTTAGCGAGGATCGGGAGCTCCATAAAGAAACCGATGAGCTGACATTGTCCGCTTGGTTGAACATGGAGTTGTCGACTGAATTAGAGCGACGTTCTGCGATTGTGTGTGAGTCAAAACAAGAAGACAAGCGACCACTGAAGCAAGATGGGGGAGAGCCAAGAATTGGGTTTTGAAAACATTGAAGTTCGAGTGGGATGATAAGGATGAAAAAGCACAAGAGGGGGAATAAGAAGACGGGAAGACTTGTGCAGTAGCATCCAAACCCCTATCCACCCTGCTTGATGCAGCGGATAGGGCCCCGTTTATTATCCTCTGTGAAGGCCGAAGCATCAAAAAATCGTGTGGAGAGAAGTTAGTAGAGTTGGATTGTGCCGGTAGGATACTGTCGGGTTGCCCATGCCAAGACGGGAGAAAGACTAAGATTCTCAAACAAAGCCATCATTGAGAAAGGTTTTGTCCGCTCGGACTAGGAAAGTCGAAACAACTAGGAAGTATTTAGTACAAATGAATGGTACGTGAGATTAGTAACCAGACAACCACGAAGAAAGTCTAGACAGAGGTAGTACGCTGCACTTAGCCTGGTTATGGAAAGGATTCAGGAGTGTGCGTATATCCGTTTAGGGGATGCACAACAGAAAAGTAATCTGGCGCACAGATGACGTGATCGAATACACAGGCACACAACAGCGAATAAAATGCAGAAATGCAGTGTCAAGGATGACTGATCACACAAACACATACAAGGCGAACTTAAGTATCACACCGGTCAGCGACGGACGAGTTTATGCTAGGCAGGAAGAAATGAGCGATTGTAGTGCGTGTGCTTACTCTTTTGTGTCCAAGGAGCGCACAAAGCAGGCCAGCGACCACAACAATAGTGCCAAACATCAGTCCAAGTTTCGGTGTCGGTTGAAGGTATTCCGAATGCGTGACTCGGGCTGAGAACCAGCGCTGCATAGCTGGGTCATGCTGAAGAACAAGAACGATTGAAAGCAGCATAGTAAACGATATGAAAGACACGGGAGAATGAACGGAACATAAAGAAAAACGTCAGCAGTACGGCGGTACGCAGTAACGACGCTTCGCTGCCGCGCAACCCGCACCAGTCGAATATGGGCTAAGAATATTGCGAGGGTCGTTAGGTCCCTACGCACGCATGAACCCGCGCCCACGGATTATATGATAGGCTAGCAATAAAGCGGAATACCTGTAGCTAGGTTGTCTGTTCAGGGAAAGAGGCAAGAAAAGGAAGTGAGTTTCTCGACTAGTGGTGTGCCTCAAGGAATTGTACTGGGGGCCAGTATTATTACTTGTTCATATCAACGATCTTCAGCAGCAACTCCAGTCACCAAGTGCCCTGTTTGCAGATGATTTGGAAATCTGGAGGATCACTGAGAACAAGAACGACTGCACTCGCCTCCAGCATGACTTAGAGCGACTGTCAACGTGGTCCACTGAAATGCAACCACCTCTTAACGCAAGTAAATCGGAGTTCATCAGTATCGCCAGATGTCCAGTCACTCGATCATACATCTTGGACGGCCAGTTGCTCCATGCCAACACATCTGTCAGAGACTTAGGAGTTCTCTCACGACATGATATGAGATTACCAGAAAATAAAGAGAAATTGTACCGTGCGGGACTTCCTATGCTCTGGGCATTAAGCCGCAGTTTCTCCACATAATCCGAAGAAACCGACCCTCGTCTATTCACCTCGCTCATTCTTGAATACGGTGCCCCAACTTACCATCCGACAACCCAATGGGAAACTGAAAAGCTGGAGAAAATACAGCATATCGCAACTAGAATGATACCGAGTCTACAAAAGTTTCCGTATGAAAAACGTTGTGAAATTCTCGGGCACTACACACTATCCTATCGCCGAGTAAGAATTGACCTTATTATGACCCATCGAGTACTACACTTAAATCACTTCCCCATACTGCGGCCAGTATTCCACTTGCGGGAACCCTGTAACACCCGAGGACACAGTTACAAACTCAGGGTCCCCTGCATGAACAAAGTATCACATCAGCTTTGTATCGAACGAAGAATAGTAAACTTATGGAATACACTAACAGAAGGATTAATAGAGGCCGATTCTGTGAAGTGTTTTAAAACCCGTATCGACGATTATTTCGGAAAACTGTGCTTTTGTGAAACGATGCACATATAATGTCGAAAGAAGACATTGTAAGCCCGGAAATAATGACACTAGTACAAATTCCTAACTGAACAAAAATGAACGATTAACGGACCAGACACAACTGCTGATGATTCACAACCAAATGTTTTTGATTTGTTGTAATTCGATAGTGTTGTACAGAAACCTTTCTAGTTGCTCTTAAATACAGTCTCTGTCTCAGTCTCTACGGAGAACTCAATAAACTTGCGCACTGACTTAGGCCCGATCTACTATCAACTGCGATAAAAGAAGTTAGGGCAGCCAAGAAACGACAAACCAATCAGTCTGCTTACTACGCAATGACGAAGTCACCTCGAATGGTGATGAAACGTCAGAAAGGAAATAGTTCCGTTCGCGGAGAACAGACTTAAACCTACAAGATAGGCTTGCGATCCTTGAGGCAACGGACCGGATGATGGGGTGACATTTTTCAACGGTTCAACATCACAAGAATGTAGACAGCTTGCAGTTGTAACAGTGATACCTATGTTCGGATAGATGTGCTGTGCATTAATAATGTATTGGCGATCGAGCAAGTACTATGGATTCGATTAGGCGTGGTGGCAGATTTGTAAGAGATCTTGTGGTTGGCACATCATTTCGCAAAACCTAAGGTAGAGACACGCGATTGATACCCACAGAAGCAAGCGTAAAAGTTAGTTAGGTGACAGACTTCGCTCAAAACATGGCTTTTAGCATGTTGGACACGGATTTGGCAAACCAGTCTAATAAAGCAACGACCATATGTGCACGAAAGCACCGTAGACCCGATTATCTTGACTGCTGCCGCCATAAAAATCAAAAAGGAGCCAGTGAAACAAGGAAGTGGACAGGTGGATTCAAGATAAGTTACCAGTAAGGAAGCACAAGCGTGTTAACAAAGTAATGAGTGCGCCAGATGGAGGAGTTGCAACCGTGATATAGTCGATCTCGAGAACTTCATTCATTCACTACACACGTTAGTTACAGATAGAAAACACCTCAGCTAGTGTGCCGCAATACAATATAAAAGAAAAAAATGCAACAAAGGCACATAACCGGATGGACATCGTTCTAGTTGGAAGTGGAGACTATGCGGAAGGGGGAGGAACAAAAAACTCACAACACGAACGCCACCGAGGTCCGCTCCCAGTCAAAGTAACAAGGATACCCAGCCAAACGTGTTCATTGTCTTTCAGACCCCGATCCCAGAGGCTCAAACCGGGGACAACTTCGAACTAAGGGTCTTCATTTCTCTTGACCAAATCATAGCTTGGCCATCTCTGCGTTTTCCATCCACACCCCCGACGCGCAAACAACACTCGTCGCGGGAGTCAGTGAGTTGGCATGCATAACACGTAGCCCAGTCATCGGAGTCTGGTGCGTGAAATAACGGTGCCTAGCGGTTCACCTCGTCTTCCTGCGCCATAAGGCGTCGAATACGCTCATTACTCACACAATGTTCCCACCAGATATGAGCCAAACTGCGAAAGCCCCGGTTGTTGAAGGTAACTACACTCTTTAAATCTGCGGATTTCTTGGGCTAGGTTTCACAACCATACAGCAGGGTCGAACATACGGTTACACTGTACACTCTACCCTTCAGGGAGGGAGTGACGTCGCACCAGCGCTACAGGTGGCGAAGAGTAGCAAAAGCGCCTCGAATTTTTGCTATACGGTTTGTGATCTCGTCTTCAATTCCAATAGCGTTGATACAAACGCCGAGGTAGTTGAATTTTTGAACGGCTTCTGGCTGATACCCATCAAGAGTCAGCGCAGGAGGCAGTCGTGTCAACCTTGGAGGAAAACTTTGCAATTCGGGTGAGCAAATCATAGCCCGAAACGGTTGACAGCCAGTGCTAATCCGTCTAGTGCTGTTTGGTAAGGTAGTGAGCGGTCACAGATAAGAGCAATGTCGTTAGCACACCCCAAGTCAAGAATTCGTTCACCTGGGAGCAGTTTCCCACTTAAGTCGTGCCCTGTGAACACAATCTCCATGAATTCGTCAATAGCAAAGCTGAACAGGAAAGGTGACAACGGACATCCTTGTCTTACACTGCTGGAGATAGTGAAGAGGGCGACAGCGTGCCTTAAGCCCTCACTCTGTCGGAGCCACGCGCGTACAGCGCTCGGATATTATTTACATATTTTTCGGGCATACAATTCCTTAGCAGAAAATCACAAAGGGCACATCAACCGAATCAAAGGCACCTATGGTATCGAGGAAGACGACTCCAGTTGACCGCCAATATATGTGACGGCGCTCCGACAACTGACGCAAGGTGAATATGCAATCGATGGACCTCCGACCTCGACGAAACCCAGCTCGCGCCTCACGAATCTGGATTTCAAAAGTGTTAATCACTCTGTGAAGGATGACAGAGACAAGCAATTTGGAGGCGATGGTGATCAGACTGATTCATCTATGGTTGCTGCATTCTGAACGTGGGACTCCGCTGAAGATCGGTACAATAACGGATCGGCTCCAGTCGGTTGGGGGTTTCCTGGTCCCATAGTTTGACTAGCAAGAGGGCTGGATGCAGATCATCTGGTCCCGCGGCTTTGTTCGACTTCAACCGTCCGATCTTACGTTTGACTTCTGAGTGAGAGGGCGGATCCAAGAAGACAGCCCACGCAGCAGGGCGGTAATTGGCCGGTGAGGAACCTAACAATTCCGGAAGATTAAACTGTTTTTCAAAGCGCTCAGTCCAACGTTACAGGCGTTTTGACAAGTTGTGGATAGGCTTGTCCACTCTCGTTCCCGTATCAGAGGAAATAATTTCGTATGGTTACCAAGAGCAGCGGCCATTTCCATTTCTGACACATTATAAGACAACCAGGATCCGCGGTTTCTCTTCTGGCTAGCACGGAGTTTTGCCTTCACGTCATTGCGAGTCTCATTGTGTTCGTTTCTAGCCGGAATGCGCCAGCGAAGATCGAGAATTTCCAGAGACTGCATAGAGACCCAATATCCATGTTGGGCTTTTGTATTTACCAAATGAGGATTTGTCAGCTGCTAGTAAGGTCTGGTGAACATGCGATCAGTGACCTTCAACTGTATTCAGTGAGCGCTTACTCAAGCCGAATGCCAGCACACTTCGATACGCATTCAGAAAATCTGGCTTCGCCAGTTGGCTGGTGTCTATGCGCTCAAAGGGTGGTCGATGGCGCTCGCCAAAAAGCACCCGCAGAGCAGTGTCCACATATGTGCGCCATATCGAACGACATTTTTGGACGTAGCCCCTCTAGCGGTAACTGATCGCAATGTGACTGATCTGCGTCCATGGCTGATCTGAGGCTGACCGGCGCCATGTCACCCTCCAGCGGGTGCTGTGTCGGAAGTTAGTGCTCCTAAGAAACGAGCGAGCATCTTCACACAAATGAAGTAGTCGCTCACCGTTATCATCACAGGAGCCTACACCATGCTGACCATCTAGATGCAGCTCGCCAGCGGACGATTTTTTTAACTTGAGCGTTCAGACACCCCGCCAGCACCACAGTGTCCGTTCTTCTTGGGTGGCGAAGGAAAATATTCAGTTGGCGATAGAAGTCGTCTTTTACCGAATCATCGCTACAGTTTGCGGGGGCTTAGGTAACGATTACAAACAGAGACCTATTAGCGCTGCGCGATTTCAGAGCTTTGAACAGGCCAGCCAGTCGGACCGAACACACCCCGCTACTGATTGGGATCCAATCAACCAGAGCAGCTTCAGGCAGAGGATTCCGGGCAATAACAACAACCACTTGGCCGGCACTCGAAGCTGCATCGTCTCCTGAGAGGCGCAATGAGAAAGCACTGCTAGTG